GCCGTGAATCATCATCATAATGCATCATGTCTTCAACAATACTAAAGGTTAAAAAATGCATTTGACATTAAAATCAGTGTTTCCCATTGGTCACGTTGTTGGCTAGGCTGGTCTGGCCAATGAGAACTCCTTTTCCCATTGTTCGCCTCATGTAACGAGGGTCAGCTAAAATTTAGGTTACTGTATCAAGTCACGAAGATAACTGTAGTGGAATATCTGTTTACAATAAAACAAACACGTTAATAATTACTTTTATTCAATACATTTCATCAACATAGACAATTCTTTCATGATTCTATTCAATGCCATAACATCGTAAGTGTCACAAGCCACAATCAAAGGCCTGTAGAACATGATTACAGTATCTGGCTATTTTATATATTAAATACAATATGTTGACGATGCCTGCGAGCCCCCAGGTGGGTTCTAAACGAAATAAACTGCTCAATTATAATAATTACACAAAAATAAAATATTTAATTAACCATAATAATTGTGCGAATAATGTTATCGAGGACATTCAACACATAATTATACATTTCATTATATAAATTCTAAATAATATTATAATTTCTTTAGCTAATAAAATTCGTTTCTAACAATAACTACGGACAAATGATTTTTAAACGATAATTATTGCTTCATAATCTCCATTACATTGAAACCAATGGAAGAACTACGAAAATTAACGAAGAATTATATTTACACGCGCCTTCACTTCGGTCATCACAACTCTCTGATGTCAACAATATATATCTACATATAAATATGTAGTGATTTTGGAGATCAAAGCGAACTGCACTCGTTCACGACAAATGCTATGATTGTACCAATTATTGCTTCATGATGCCTGACCCGTGGGACGCAACTATAATACAATAACTAATAGACACATTCAAAACGTAATTTTAAAATAAAACTATGCACCAACATTACAGAAGCACTCCAAATTCAATAAATCATCGGTTTGATTTAGTCCCATTGTTCTTCTAGTTTGTTCTAGTAAATGGTGGAAGAGTTTTATAATGTCAATAGAATGTACTTTTCTTTGTAAAACAATCACTTATTTTATCCTTTTTACAAGTAAATGATCCAATCGAGCAACTCTATAACTTAATAGATGTTACTTTGTAATTAACAGCTATGCACATCACCGGTCGCCTGGAGTGGTTATATGTGGAACCAATCGAATGTTCTAGAAGTTCAGAATGTTCTACGGGAATAAAGTAGCCCACATTTCCGTAACTAAAATATACTTTTCAAATTATTTTCATGAATTAACATTTCCATATTTCGTCATCAACAGCATATAACAGTCCACTGCTATACATAAGTCTCTTCTTAGAAAAGAGGTTTTGGCCTACTATACCACGCTGAGCAGACGGGTTGGTTTGTGTCAAATTTTCCTTCTCTTTGCAGTGTTGTTGTACTGCGTAGTTTGCTATTATCGTAGTATCAATATTTGCTAATGAAATCATGTTTACTTGCCATCTAAAATTTTGTCAGTACATTCAAAGAACTTCGGCTATTCTCTAAGAAATAAATTCTATATAATACTTTTTGGGTAAATCAATAACATTATACTAATGTTGTTACAATTTGATGGTCGTATAAACACAGTGTTGGGACTAAACCAAACCAATACAGTGCCAGTGTCATACAACAGTCCGTTCCGCTGCGCTCCGGCAAAAACAAAATTTTTGTTACTTTGGTCCCAATCATCATTGATTTGCTAGCTTCGGACATGTTGTATGACAAACCACTACATTATAATATACATCAAAATAAATTATACTCGATATTTTCTGTTTAAAATAGTTTTGACATTTTGCGATAAAAAAAAATACCTAATTTATTTGACTCTTAAGACAGTACATATTTGCTTATCAAATGAGGATTGCAAAATTATTTATTTGAAATATCATCAATCTTTAACAATTGGGAGTAAACAGACCTCAAAAGTATCTACTATTCTGTACAGAAAATATCTCAACGTAGCTGCCAAACACAACGCTAGTACCAAATTAAACGGAATGAATTAAATGCATACGTATATTTAAATAATATATATTATAGCTTAAAGAATTTTAGGAATTTAAGTACAAAGTGATGGGAAAAGAAACGCACTTGTTACTGACCAATGTACGGAATAAATTCGCCCACTTTCTATTCTTCGCCTACCCTCTTTCTCGTAATAATATATAATACAGTCTTAACAGTATTTTTTTTTTAAAATCATTTATATTTAATCTTAGTCACGCAAAATAATAAATTTAACATCTTAATATTAGTTCACGTGTACATTGTGTAAACAATGTTTTAAATGTGTGTGTCATAACATGTTCAAACGCCTTTAAATATACCGAACCGACGAAATACCACACATATCTTACCCCATAACACAACTTAAGTGTGTCTGTTCGACTGTTAAACTGTAGTTTATAACATTACGACACGTGCATATATAATACACAGGTATAATACAATATGTTATATAGTGTAACACTTACATAGATACCACTACCTAAGTTTTTGACACGTCTACGCCTGTCTACATGAAGCGGGTATAAAAAATATTCTATTACCTACATCGGATATCAACCACACTACGTCCATTTACAAAAGGTACTACTATACATTTATGTTATTTGAACGCCACTGTCAGTGACATGAAAATTTTGGTTTTTGTTTAAATTTAGGATATTTACCTGCCCACACAGTTTATAAATTTTGAGCATTTTAACATTTCTCAAGGCTCGTTATCTATTACCGACAAATATAAACTATATTTAATAGTTCTTGGAGAAAATTCGAAGTCTAAACAACTTAAAAAAATAAGCTATTTATATGTCAAATCTTTTAATTGTCATCGCGTTCATTAATTGGAATATGAAACTAAATTTCAATGGTGACTTGTGACGTCATAACTTATAAAATTTCTCCTCAATAAAGTGAATAAAATGTGTGTTCACAGTCAATCACTGTATTTTGCTTGGAGGTACTTTTACGGTCCAAAACTTGCTTAAAGTAATATTTACTAATTGTTTACATTTAGTGAAAAAAAAACATGAAATGTGTTATTTTCATTTTGTTTTTTTTTTAATAAAAACTATCTGTAGTTTTTAGTCTTCCTGGAAAAAAACCTCTGTGTTTTTTTCCAATTTCAGATAATTTTAGACAATTAATTGGGCCTTAATCTTTTTGTTAATTAAATGGTGCCTGTACAACAAAGTACAATAACCCTTGGTATCGTATACAGTCCCCTCAGCGCGCCGCCAGCTCGCCCCAAACGACCAGCATTTCCCCCCTGGTTCAACACTGAGGCTATTGACTATGTGACGTTAGTGATACGTTGAATATCTACGATTGTTCGGTGAGCTTCACTTAGACGATAAACTGAGCTTCATTAGTTATCAAATATCAATTGCATTCGGCTGTTATTTTACATTATAAACAGGATTTTACATTATTTCATATTATAACATAGATATACTAAGAATTTAAAGAAGAAATAATGGGAAGGAATGTGAAATGAGCATTTTGATGGAAAATTGAAAATAATTATACACTTTTGTATTTAAGAAAACAGTAATTTTGAAATAACACAATAGTACATAGAAATGATTAAACAAAATCAAGACAGGCAATACAAATAAGAACGCCACTTTTCCACTTTTTACAAACTTTTATAAATTTATGTCTCTTTCACACATTGTTACGTGGAACGAGTGTGTGAGAAAGACAGCGATATATTTTTTAATAGAAGTAGTGATGTACAATAAACAATTGAACCGCTACACGTCCGTCCCGTATAATATCATTCGATATATTTATGATATGTACCCTATGTACACGCAGTGGGCCCGACACTTGTGTCTAATATCAAATTCGTACAAAAATTGTTATATTTAGTCCTAATTTCGAAACCCACCCTACATCTTGTGGGAGCAATGATATGTTCTTATGACACATTGAAAATTATAGAAAGCCGTACCTTCATAAAAACAACAGCCTAGAATGTTAAATTTTTGCCTTTTTAAAGATGTGAATGGTAGTAATACAAGCCATGGCCACACAGGTACGCCGTCCCGGACAACAACACCTACCACAGTCTAAACCCCGCTTCCTACTTTCAACACCCCTTACATCCAGCAATTTACCACCTTACTTACTGGGGGGTCCGCCGCCCCCGGTAAGTAATTTAAATTACCCTCCGGGGTTGACAGGTTTTCTACTATCCTTAGCATTATTACAAGATATATGGACACAGTACACCCGGCTGCCAAACAATAGTTCATAGAAATTTAAACGAGAATCGAACTTTTAATAATTTTATTACATGGCAACTTTATAATGGTTGGCATATTCAAACCACAAAGCAAATATATCCCTTTAAGGTGGTAAGTAGAGGACTATGACTTCGTTTTTGTGGATAATATGTAATCATATCTAGGACAAATATGGCAGTCATCTCTGTACTAACGTTTAATCGTCAGCATTCGTCCTGTTATAAATTTAAAGTGCCTGTCATTTCGACCAGATTGCACCGGCCGTTGTCACTGCCTGATCTGTGCCTAATAATGCCCGTGTAAATACATTATACATTTCGTGCAAATGAACTACGAGGAATGCGAGATAAAAAAATAAATTTGTGTGCCCAACTTCATCGCACAAGGTCGAGCCATGAAAACGCACTGTTTGGAAGGGGTTGGAATTATTAGATTTAATAGATAAAACAACCTTGACTTGCGGTGACTCAGTGTGATGATCCAAAACATTTATATTTAAAAAAAATGGTTGAGCAATTTTATAAAGTAAAGATATGAAGGTTATAAATCTCAAATACGACTATTAAATATTGGGATATCTTCAGAGATACGGTTGGATGATGATGGGATTGTTTTAAACGACAGATATGTTGTTATAGAGAACCTACCATTGCTCCTCATCTCCTTAAGTCTATCTCAACCATTCTGGCAAATATCTGCCAGTAACCAATATCATTGCAGGAACGAGTTCTGATTGGCGAAGGCGGGTCGCATCGTGTTGTTGTTTTGGCCAGCTGAAGGCGGTAAGTTATTGTTCATGATCGGACTCATCATAAAACCACCCATAGGCATCTGTGGGGCCAACATCGGCATTTGGGGAGGTAAGCTGTGCGCCGGGCTGTTCGGACTCGACTTCAGCTGGTTGATGGAGGGGGCGGGCCCTGCTTTAGGGGATCTCGGAGCCAGGAGATTGTCTACGTCGATGTTGATGGTCCCGGTTGTGTCGGCCCAGGTTGCACCCAGTTTAGTTGTTGGTTTCGCGCTAATTGTTGTGTTGAGTTGTGGTTGCTGCTGCTGTTGTTGTTGTTGTTGGAATGGCGCGATCGGTTGTGCAAGCCCCGCTGGAGTCGGTTGTATACCTGTATATTTTTGATACATTAAAAACAAAGCTCTCACATTACTTTCCAACTTTCTTAATTCGAGCTCCAAATAAGCATTACAATATGGTATGTTCGTAAAGTTTCATAATGCACAACCCTGGATGTATACCCCACATTATATAGAAACGGCTAAATAAATTGTTATATACACCCTGTACTTAAATTGAACATAATATATCTAATGCTGATTTGTAAGACTCCAGACTTAATCTTCAGGATCAATTATGATTATGTGAAAATTGCGGCCTCGAACGCAGTGATACCACGGCCTGAGAAAACCAGGTGTTTTCTCAGGCCGTGGTATCATCATTGTCCTCTTTCCTTTCCATGATTCTGAAGGGAGGAGTCATAAGTCAACGACGCTCTGGTGACTTTTGAGTTATGGGTGTCCATGGGCGGCGTCACTTACCACCAGGTGACCCGCGTGCTTGTTTGCCTTACTATACCATTAAAAAAAAAGTGGAACTCCGGGAGTGACGACAGAAGTGAAAACTTGAATTTTTTTTATTTTTTTTATTGAAACAGGTTTTTTTTTTCATTTGAAAAGTTCCGATATGAATATACTACTCTGTGTAAAAAGTATCGGGAATATGTCAATAAAAAGACCCGCGTAAAAGAGGTCGTTCTAATTTTTTTACTGCATGTTGGTAGCACTGTACTGATTAAGCGCGCAAAATTTGAGCGGGATCTGTCATTTAATTTGTTTTAAACTACACTTTTTGTTGGTGATAGTTTTGAGTCCTCGGCGATTTTTACAATGGAAAATATTGTTGAACAAAGAGTGTGCCTTAAATTTTGTGTTTCGAATGATATTTCTTGTGGTGAATCACTAAAAATGTTGCGAAATACCTACGGCGAATCGTGTATATCGAAAACAAGGGCTTATGAATGGTATAAGGCTTTTAAAGAAGGCCGAGAAGTAGTAGTAGACTTGCCTGGTTCTGGTAGACCTTCAACCGCTACGACCAAAGAAAACATCGACAGAATCAAGAAGCTAGTGCTCGAAAATCGACGTATGAGTCTGAGAGAGTTGGCTAGTGAGGTGAACATATCTTTTAAGTCCGTCCACAACATTCTCATTGACAATTTAGGCATGAAACGCCGCTCGACTAGTTCCAAAAGAGCTTAATTTTGTTCATAAAGCGCAGCGAAAGCATGTCGCTGAAGACATGGTTTCCCGAGCTTCTACGGATCCGACCTTTATGAAACGTATAATAACTGGCGACGAGACATGGGTTTATGAGTACGACATGCAAACAAGCCAACAGTCTTCAGAATGGCGTCTCGAAAACCAGCCGAAACCAAAAAAAACCGCAGCAAAGTCGCTCCAAAATCAAGGTGATGCTGACAGTTTTTTTTTACTACCGTGGTGTGGTTCACTCCGAATTCCTTCCAGAGGGAGAAACAGTGAATAAAGAATATTATTTAGGCGTCATGAAGCGTTTGCGTGAGAGTATCCGCCGAAAACGGCCAGATTTGTGGCAACACAACTCATGGATGCTGCACCATGATAATGCACCATCACACACAGCCATTATAGTGAAAGAGTTTTTAGCGAAAAATTCAACAAAAGTTCTCGACCAAGCACCGTATTCACCTGATATGGCTCCGTCTGACTTTTTTTCATTTCCCAAGTTAAAATTACCACTTCGAGGAAAACGTTTTGAGTCGATAGAAGCCATAAAAGAAAATTCGCTGAATGAGCTAAAGGCCATACCGCAAATAGCCTATGAAAAATGTATGGAAGACTGGGTGAAGCGGTGGAGATGTTGTATTGCAAGCGATGGGGCCTACTTTGAAGGCGATAAAATAAATTTAGATGAATAATTTGTATTTTTTGTTTTATTGACAAATTCCCGATACTTAGTACACAGAATGTATATCAATGTTGTACGTACGTACACAATATATGTCTATTTTATATATGGTTATATTTTCAATGTATTTCCAGCCAAACTCAACTCTTGTGTAAACGGGGCCAATATATGTAGATTCTTGTATACAGAAGTGTCGGTAAAGGTAACAGTGTCGCGAGTTCAGTGGTTGTTTCCCATCTCAAAACAAAAATACATTCTTTTGTTTGTTTGTTCAAAAATGCCCAAAGCGTCTAATGAAGTTTTCACTTCAAAAAAGTAATTAGTATGGGAAATAAAATATACTGTGTATGATTTACAAACTATACACTGTTGTAAATGAAAAATATTTTATAGTCCATTCGCGTTAAGAAAATGGTGATACCTCGCTCAAACCCCGTCCCCTGACCAATCAGATTTAGTCTTTCGTACGAAATGATAATTTCTTGGAACGTGATTGGTCAGGGGGCGGGCTTGATTCATGTATCACTATTTTCTTAACGCGAATAGAATATAGTACAGAGTCTTGCGTGTGCTCAATGTGTACTTGAAATGTAATTCTAAAGATCCTGGTTTTAATTAAAATTAGTATGACATGATCCATTTATAACATACATGCACTTCAGAGGCCTGTTAAAAATATTAATAAATTCTAAATTAGAAAAAAGTAAAAGCACTGGTATACCATGTCAAGGGTGGCAAGGGTGCACAATTATTTATTTGTATCTGGATATATATTGTGTTCGTTACTATCTGTTATCTTTCGGTATTTATGAAATAAGATAGATATAAGATTTAATGGAAAATAAACAACATATGTAGGTACTTCAATCAAATTTTATTAGCGGTGGGTACACACACAGCTAGCTACACACATCTATGAGACTACACATTTATATAGCTTCAGTATTATAACTGAAGTTAAAAACATTACTTGGCTAGCAGAAAAAACTTAGCTTAAACATACTTTCTACTTCTAGATACTTCAACTTCGTACGTTTTCCCTAGAATCTAACTTAATGTGTAATACGATTGATAATGTTAAATTTTAAGAGATATTTATTACGATTTTACTTAAGTATTTGAGGTGACTGACTAGTTTAAGAGCCAACGGGATCAAGGAGTGAAGGAATCTTCCGAGTCGCTGTCAGGCCCTGGTCTAGGACATCTCTATACCGTCCTTCATAATAATGAATACTAATCACGAATATATTATGATATTCTAATCAGAGTCTGTTAATGTTTTCTCAATTAAACCGAACACTTGGCCGGCGAATATCGCAGCCTCGGACTTGGCACCGCCAAGTTTCATTGTCAAGTCTATGTTGGACAAGCAATCCTCGAGCCAAGATCGCATCTCCATCATCACATCGAAAAACTCCGTCTTTAATATACTCGCCGGTAACGCGATCACTACCGAAGCTAGCAAAGACATAACACATGTCTGTATCTGGGGGTCCGGGGCGTACCTCAAATATAAAATTATTCTGACTACTTCCCAGCAGTACACTGAGCATTTCGGACAATTTTTCGATGCTAAAACGACATTACCGACCACAGATAAATATTTAAACATTAATATACTATCGATGTCCTGTTTCATGTTGTGATGGCTCAGTGTGAGTTGCTTGTGTCCGAAACCACCGAGTAACGGATAAAAAAAGAAATCTGAAACACCAGCAAACTGGTTCTTCTTCGCGGTTGCGAAAGGATGCCGCCTTATCGAGTGGAAATATCTCGTTTTGTTGATCAATCTCCGCCTTATTATCTCTTCGGCCGGGACATCAGTCTGTTCCTCACATATGATGTCGTTCTGCGGTTTGGGCGCGTCGTTCTGTTGCCGTACGTCGGCAATTCTATTTACAGCCTCGGAAATAACATCAAGCATGAATATTTTAGTTGCTATGGAATATCTACCGATGTCTGTGTGTATTTCTTTGCACAGATGTTCGGCGGCAACTTTCGGTTGAATGGAGACGATCGCCACGCACGTGTTGAACTTGATGCTGTCGAAATTATCCACGTGGTACTTCGCATCTAGATGCACAAACAGATCCAGTAATTCCACGATCAGTTTCGGGTCTTCGTTCCTGAGTTGTTTGTTGACTAATTCTTCTGCAACTTCTAGACTGGCTTCAAATATCTCAGCGTCTTTAGCTTCTACGATGTTTTCTATCAAATCCCGCAAATATTTGGGCTGTTTTTTAGCATTGACAGAAATATCGTTGCTCATATCGTACGGGACGAGGTCGTCGTCTGAGTCTAAGTCTTCCTGCTTCCCATCCAGAGCATCCAGCTTCACAGAAATTATAGCTTTGACTATCTCCTTTGTCTGTTCGGGACCTTTGACCGCGCAAGTCACTATCGTGTTGTGTACGTAAGAGTTCTCATCTTCAGCGAATTTGTTGGCCACATGATCCAGCGCCCTCTTCAAATTAATGGTTACCGGTACATAATCATCGCCGATCTTACAGTTCAAGTTTATAAGACATTTGTAAGAGATGATTTTAAGTGTTTTATGTATTTCTTTACATGTCGCATTCATTTTGTCGTAATCAAATTTGAGTTCAGCTTTTTTATCTGAATGGTCGATTTGCGATATTATTTTGAGTATAATTTCAACGGTGGCCATGCCTATAGATCTGAATTCCTGCGACAGTATATCTAAGTGTTTGCTCATACCACGAAACAGAACATTTTTCAGTTCATTTGTCTTCCATTTGTTTTTATTCTTTAGCGACACAGAGACACGATACTGGACCGCTAATATTAACAGTTCAGATATATACATGTGCTCGGACAAGTTGGATGTATTTCTTATTTTAACATCGGCCCAAACCGTAGCCAACCTAACAATCAGCTCGTTTAGATTCTCAGTAGAATTCTTCGTAGTTGAGATATAGTATACCAGATTCTCTGCCACCGTGGTGTCTTTAATATTATTTGGTTTGATACACAGTGGTATTTTATAACTGAGGATTTCTTTCCAATCATTGTTGGTATCGAAATTGTCACCGATCACATGCAAAATGATCTGTTCGGTTTTTCTATAGTTTATGGGACACCGTTTTAGAAACATTATAGATAAGTATTCTATAGCTTGTCTCGACAAATGTTTCAATAAGGTTTGTATGAGTCTCCGCTTGACATATTGACTCGGTTCATTATAGTCTGTCCACGCGGCGAACGTGTCGATCAAGTCCAGGACTGCAGGAGAGTTACCACTCATGTAATAGTTTGTTACTACTTTTGAAACTAAATGAGAAAAACACTTCATATTGTAGCGAGTGCTTTGATAAAAACAGCTGTCCGACATATAATCGATCACCCTGATTATGTGGAAAATTAAATAGTACGAGTAATTCTCGTGGGAAAATCCCTTGGGTGTGTCAGTCTTCAGTCTGTTGGCCACCCTTTCGGGCAGTGTTGCCAGCAGTTGAACGTAAATCTCCCACTCGTTTTCGATGTTATTAATATCCGTACCCTCCTGAGAGGTACATCGACTACAGTCGATAATAGCTGCGAATATAGCGTCGCTTTTAATATATTGCAGTAGTATATCGGAGAGCGCTTTTAGGGTTACCATGTTGTTGTCATTTTTCAGAAACCCGCACAAAATGGACAGTGTTTCGTGACTTAGACTGAAGCTTTCTTCAATAGTGAACAAGGTCGTAATCTCTTTCCTGCAAACCGGCCACTGCGGCAGCAAGATCCTGACGATAAGGGTCAACAACTCCGTATACAGATCTAGGAGGTCACCCTGTAGCACATATTCGTCTGTCCCGTTCATCCTCTGCACTGTGATGGGCCCCGGCAGGTATGTTATGACGTGCTCAAGCGTGCTTCTGATCCTGTTAAGATCCCGCTCAGTTTTAATGTCCCGGGTGTAGTGTATGACTTGCAGGGCGTATTTCACGCTGGTGTGGGCCGGAGGAATTTTCTTCGCTGAAGGGTCTGTAAAACAAAAAATACCTGAAAGTGCCCAAAACCGTTTTCGATACAATCAATGTGTTTTTGCATGCAACTAGGATCTTTTAACACCAAATAATAATACGTATGTAGTACAACAACGGCTGATATAAATATGTTTTAATTTTATATAATTGAATTTTAATACATATTTAATATGTAGAATAAATCGAATTTATTGTATGTCTATTTGTTTTATTGTATTATAGATGCATGTTTTATTTGTATTTTAATTTAACGAACGCAATATATATCCAGATAAATATCCCTGTGCAGGAATTGGCTCCGTAACACGAGTAGGGAGTGTTCAAACAACTGCATTATAAGTTACGTGACAACACGTCACAGAAAAACGTGTTCGTATTAGCGTCGTGTAGGAAATCGTAAGTTCAAATTAAGGAAACTTATTTCAAAATTGATAAATTGAAGCGAAAGTTAATATTTCGCAGAGAAGAGTTAATTACAGATCGTCCACGTTAAATATGTGTAGGAAATAGAAAAATGCCCGTATAGTGTTAGGTTACAATAGAAAAAAAAAACATTTTCCAAATGAATGTTTGTTTCGTGACGCGCCTAAAGTACGAGCAGGCGTTTCTGTGACAGTGTGTGGCAGTGGATGACACAGACAAGCAGAGACGAGTGGCGTGACTGACCCGTGAACGTGTGCAGCGAGGCCAGCGCCAGCTGCGAGGCGAGCACGCCCGCGGGGGCAGAGGGGGCGGCGGGGGGAGCGGCCGGAGGAGCCAGCGAGCTCAGTAGGTCCACGTTCGAAGACGGACCTGGAAAATTACAATATTTTTTTAAAAACAGCTCCCGCATTAGGAATGTATCTTGTGTCGCGGGCGGACTTTACATCATACGTGAAACAGACACAAAGAACACCCAGAATGTCCCATGTGGAGATCGAGCCCACACACTCAGCGGTCGTCGGTCGTAGTACACTTAAACTACTACGCCATCCGTGCAGTCACGTAGGTTCAGTGCATCAATTAAGTTTTAACTTTGTAATTTTTTTGTCTAATATTGTTCGACCGACGTGAGTGACGTGACTAATTTCAAATAACAGAACTAATCGATCATATCCAAAAAATTAAATCGAGCTGTAAAGATGATCTGCAATCTAAACGAACTTCAACTTGCGTTACGGCAGAAATGTCAAAAGCTCGACAATTTAGTTTTGTGAAACAGAGGAGCCATATAACGTTTAGCTAAAATCCTAAAATTTCATTCGGTAACATTCAATCCATTTTAACGACTCTCTGGGATTCACAAAAGTGTCGGCAAAATGAGGGTACCATGAATGTTAACAGAGGAAACCAAAAGCTATGTTCGGAAATTTATAAGCGGAATCTGGAAATTTTACAGCATGATCCGAATCAATATTACCGTCGTGTTGTCACCGTGGATGAAACGTGGATCCACCATTTCAAACCCGACACTAATAGACCAATCATGTCTTGGAAACGAAGCCCACAAAGAAATTTTGAATTGCTCCTACCGCTGGCAAAGTTATGCATTCTCTATCTCTATCTCTCTCTTCTTTTTCAAAGGAATCTTTTTTACATGCCGATATTACAGAATATTCCTGGACCCTATTATGTAGATTTAATCCCAGTGTGTGAAGCGATAAAAGAAAAACGTGGTGGAAAACTGAAATTAAGCGTGTTGTTTCTTCACTATAACACTCTTACTTATCGATCGCATGTTGCGCTCAAGACAATCCGCAGTACTAGGGTCGATGAACTTGACCACCATATTTTACTTACGTCTAGTGATTTTCACTTATTCCCAAAATTAAAGAATTAGCGATTCTATGTAGCACAAGATATAAAACAAGCTGATACACACACACGCACACGCACACACACACACACACACACACACACCTGCGCGTAAACACGTGTATAAGTTTTTAGTTTTTTTTCTCTTTCTTCGTGTATAACATTGATATAAATACTACTGCTACAAATACATATATTGGGAGAAGACATTGACAGCTGCAACACAGTCTGTACTAGCGCAGGTGTCAGGTAATCTTCTTATGGCTGCCGTAGATGAGTTTTTAGCATAGGGATATGCATAGAGTAAACAACAGCCCTAATCTTGCAATATAGGTAACGAGAGAGATGGATAATAGATAGTTCCCTCCATCTCTTTCTAGTCGAGCTCCGTAGTTGGCTGGGGAAATTTCTAATTTCCCGCCTGTTCTACGTTCTACGACCATGACGGTTTTGATCGTAGAACAGGAGGGACTTCACCATAGCCAATCACAGCTAAGCTAAACTGAGACAGAGGGAACTATCGGGCATCCATCTCTCTCGTTGCCTATATTGCAAGATTGGGGCTCTTGTCTTGGGCTTCCACTGACAGGCAGCTGTACCCTATATTCTGTCTAAGCTGATATTTTTATGGTTTTTAGAGAGTCAAGAACATCATTTTTTTGGGGAAGGAAGTAATTAAGAATAATATTTAGATTCACCCGTTGTAGGTATGGTACCTAATGGTAAGTACCTTCTAATCTAGTTTTTCTTTGATAGCGTTGCCGCCCTTTAGAGAGGGGGACCTTCTGCGGTGAGACGGAAGGGGGGATTTTGGGTTCCGGTAGCCCCACTTACTCGATGAAAAGCACCGAAAGAATAGCTCAACACCGGTTTGCTGTATCACTGGGTATCACTCCGATCGAGCCGGTCACTGGTGGCTCTTACTTTGATTTGGACTAATTTTCCCATTTCCATACTAATTTTCGCATTGACGGCAATAGGCTTAACACCTATTACTTCAGTGTGAATAAAATTGGTTTGTGCAAAATGTAAGAGTTTAATACGCCTCTGTTTAACCCCCTCCGGGGATATAGACATGCTAAGTATTTTGAAGAACTATGTTCACTCCTATCACAATGTCTTCAAGGATTTATTATAATCTATACAAATAAATAAAATTGAAGTGGCTGTTTGTTATGTCAAAATAATGTTTATTTTTAATGCCTAAAAACCAGTTTAAATATTATTTGTCCGTCCGCTTGTTCTTCAAAATGGCTGAACGGGTTTTGATAATACTGTACTGTAAAACTTAGCCCTATGGAATCGAACCCGAGGCCTCATAGAATGCAGTCGCACTACACTACTGAGGCAACGCTTTTCAAATTCCACTCCAAATACCAGCTAGTAGCAAATAAATATCTCACCTGTTCCAATTCCAGTTAAACTATTCCCACTGCTGGTCATGATGCTGGCCAGTCCGTTATCAGCACTCAGTCCGTTGTTGTTGGCTAGTACAGAAGTGTTGTTGGTGTTGTCGGCGCTGGAGTCGCGGCTGAAGGCGCTGGTGAAGTCGGCGAAACCATCGTTGTTGTTGTCGGAGAAGGCGTTAGTGAAGTCCCCGAAGTCGTTCGATACCTTCCGCGGGGGTTTGGGCTCTTCCGCTCTAAAATTGAACATCCTTAATATTAACTATTTTTATTGATAGCTACTGTATTATTAGGATATTTATTATTCTATTTAAAGGGATATTTAATTAGGTTTGCATATTTTAAAGTATATCTGTAGTAACTTAATTATGTTTATTAAATTTAACTTGTTTATATGAAGAAATATTTTAACCAATCACGGATTTGCTACAGGGATGTAAGCTCGTATCGAAGTGCTCCTCTCGCACACCGCTACTAAATACTACTTGTAATTTCATACCAAAATGTGTGGAGTTGTCTTGGCTGGTAATAGTAAAAAGCTCATCAATCATCAGTCATCAACAGCCTTTAATAGTCCACTGCTGGACATAAGCCTCTCCTGAGAAAGGAGGTTTTGGCCTACTATACCACGCTGGCCAGACGGGTTGGTAAAGGGTTTCTGTCAAGTTTTCCTTCTCTCTGCAGTGCTGTTGTCCTGCTTAGTTTGCTCCCTTAGTCGGCTCTTACGACACCCACGGGATGAATAGGGGTGGTGACACTCTGTATTCTTAATCCGTCACCACACGGACGTAAAAAGCTCACCTTGGATCAAAATCATCAAGCACTAGTGAGCCGGTGTGGGACGGGGTTGTTGAAGGTGTGGGACAAGTCTTGAACAGGTCGTCTAGTAGCTCTTGTGATTGCTGGGTCTGGTTCTTCGGAGGGGGAACAGAGGCGGAGGAAAGCTGGCTCGACGATGTTTTGCCGTACGATGCTGCGGCACCTGAATTATGCATAAAAGAATATTTAAATACAAAAATATCATTAATAATGTCATTCCCGGAGGTATAAAGGGTGGCGGTCACGTTCAAGCAGTGGCTTGCACATATATTCCTTCCTTCCACCTTCCTCCAATATAAGTCCATCAGGACTGTTAAACATTTTTCGCAAAAATTACTTGGGCCGTATATCATTTCCGGTCACCTTTCATTCTTCAGATTTATGTGATATTTTATCAACACCAATTGTTGTTAGTTGGTTGTACCAATGGTAGGGGGTAATCTAGAAGAAGAAGAAGAATATCTTCAAGTATGTTTCGAGTTACTAGTATTATGACAAAGTATTACGGAAGAGTGAGGTACGTTACCAAGGTCTATCTTCTTGACGGGCGTAGAGGGCTTGGCCTTGGCGGGGCTCTTGAGGTTGATGCTGAGGGGGCGAGGCGCGGGCCTGCTGCGGGGGGGAGACTCCGAGATCACTTCTGAGTCGCGGTACACGTTCTCTCTGAAATGGACGGACACACTATTTATAAAGTATGATATATCATCATCCTCAACAGTCTTTAGTAGTCTACTGCTTTACATGGGCCTCTTCTAAGAAAAAACAGAATTTCCAATCTGTGGAACGAGTTATCGTCTGCGGTATTTCCAGACCGATACGACCTTCAAAGCTTCAAGAAAAGAGCGTACTCCTTCCTAAAAGGCCGGCAACGCGTTTGTGACTCCTGAGCTGCAGACGTTCATGGGCGGCGATAGTAACTTTCCATCAGGTGACCCGTCTGCTCGTCTGCCCCCTCTAATATAAAAAAAGTAGTTTCAAGTTCACTTAGTCGGCTCTTACGACACCCACAGTATGAGAAGGAGTCATGACACTCCGTATTCTTGATCCGTCACCACAGCAACAGTGATACAGTATCCCATATTATTGGTTAAATTATACTATAAGAGATTATTGACATTAATTACATTTTTGAGTGGACGTGTCACCTGATGGTAAGTGACTCCCGCCGCCCATCGGCACCTACGACTCAAGAATGATTAGTGCCGTCCTTTGAGTCCACCCCCACAAATAGTAGGACGAGGTACTAGTACTAGTAACAAGTTGAAATGTAAATGTTTAAACTAACTTTTGTGGTCTCCTCTCCCGGCTCTGTGAGTAGTCTCCATCTGAATCATCCCTATCATATTCCTCTTCTTCGTTTCTTTCCTTTGGCTCTTCTGGACAAAAGTAAGAAATAAAGTTAAGCAGATGTGTACTCATTCTCAATTGGTCATGATTACAATTTAATTTAATGAGTATATAGAGGAATTTGGTGTACATACCCCAGTTCCCACCACCACGATCACTATACTCTCCCCACCCGCCAGAACTGCTTCTCATGCCCATCACGACAGCTTCTGAGGACATTCCTGGAAAGAAAATATAATATAAATATCAGTTAGTTAGTTGTGTGTAATTGTCGGGTCTGTTGGTCTTGTGGTTAGTGACCCTGACTGCTTAGCCAGCGGTCGTGGGTTCGATTCCTACGACAAATAAGTGTGTGATGAGCACGATCATTTCTTCTGTATTTGGGTGTAATTTATCTATATTATGTATGTATTTAGAAATATATAAGTATGTTTATCAGCAGCCTGGTTACCATAGTACAGGCTCTGCCTAGTTTGGGATCAGATGGCCGTGTGTGAGATGTGTGAAATTATTTTTAAAAAAATAGTATGACCAAGAAGACACGAATCTTCTATGAGTACGAGATTATATTTGCGAGATTGTTGTTACTGCTCTGCGCCTTAACATCATACTGTGATGGTAAGTAATGCATAACCATTATTAAGAATTGATCACCATATTATGTAGATTTATTTATTTTAAATATTGGGGTAATATATTTTTTTTTCAAATTTAAATGGAACATGAAACATGGAATGAAATTGATCATATTTCCGTTAAGGCACAAGGAAGGTTCTTATGGAAAAAAAACATAAAATTTTCGAGTAAAATAGTAAAAAGAACACTTTTTTGTTCCCGTACAAACCACAGAGTAAATTAAAACACATGGCCCTAGCTGTCATACATTTTACGTCAATAAAAACAAAACTATTGGATGATCTTTGGCATATCTTCAAGTTGGTTGAGCTGTATGGATATTAAGCTATGCCTGCCCAAAATCAACTTCAAAAAAAAGTGATCACTCTGAAATACGTTATATTAATTTTTTTATTTTATATATATACTAGCTGACCCGGCGAACTCTGTTCCGCCTTAAAGGCAATAAATAATTAAATAAATAATTAATTTATTTCTTAGAAAAAAAAAATGAAGTACATTAATCATTTATTATTGTTTCTGCATTTCAGTACATAGGTTGCTCTTCACTTAAGTACCTTGTGATACACGACATTTTTTGTTTTCTTATCAGGCGCAAAAACAAACAACGCAGATGGTCTTCCGACCAATACTCAACGTTGCAACGTGTCTTTAACGTTTTAGAAATAAGTGGCGAATATGGAACAATCCAACTGTTGTCGACAACGAAATCCATTCTTTTCACTTTTGTTGTTGACAGTTCCACCGTTGTCATCTGGTGATCGACGACGATACAAAAAAAAAAAAGGAGTAAATAGTATCCTATGTCCGTCTCCTAGCTCTAAGCTACCTCCTCACCAATTTTCAGCCATATCGGTAAAGCCGTTCTTGAGTTATAAATAGTGTAACTAACACGACTTTCTTTTATATATATAGATTAGACTGCAACAGCCCCAAAAACTATTGACAGAACGAAGTCGGTCTGTAGATAGATGAAATAAATACCTATGTATTTGTCCTTGTTTTTCTTGGCCTTCTTCCTCTCCTCCCTGAGCTTCTCGTCGTCCTGTATGAAATCTATGAGCTCACGCACTTTGTGTCGCACGTTCACACCCTGAAACCAACAAATCACACTAATTTCATAAAGGGGAAAAATTTGTGTTTGTTAATTTTTTAAAAAAGAACATGGAGGTAGTCGACACCTTGGATTAATACATAAGCTACTTTTTTTACCGAAAAAATTTAGGTCCCGAAAAAGGAGTAAGGCAACAACCGCGCTTAACACGACGGGACACAGATAGTTATATATATATATATATTCATCATCAACAGCCTATGATAGTCCACTGCTGGACATAGGCCTCTCCTTAGAAAGGAGGTTTTGGCCTACTATACCACGCTGGCCAGACAAATGAGAAAAAAACAAAAAAAAACAAACAAACTGCACAAGACAACAGCTGCAAAAAGAAGGAAAACTTGAAACAAACCCTATATATATATTATTATGTACTAAATAACAATTTAGCTATATGTGCTAGATGAGACCTGCAACTCAGGAGACAATGCTGCAATGTTCCATGGTACGGGAATGGAGGAGGTTGGCCTTCCGGTAACTTCACTTACTGTGGAATCATGGCTCTTCTACGGTAACATCTTTTGTTTGATCGTCCTCTACACATTTACAATCTAGAGGTTCAAAGTTAAGTTACAAATATTTCTAAGCTCTAAATGGTTAGAATTACACATTACCTGGTCCTTCCCGACCTCATCCACATATGTGTAATTCTCCAAGGAGCGCAGGTCGTATATGTGCTCCCTGGCAGATGTGACCACGCGTTCGGACCCATTCCTCACCAAGTAACTTAATAGCAGAAGACACTGTGGACAAATAGGATGTAACATTAATTTGTGATATGTTTAATTGGCCTGGACTGGACTGGACTTTGGTCTAGTGGCTAGTGAATGACCCTGATTGCATTGTGGTATGAGCATGATCATTTGTTCTCTGTATGCGTGCGTGTGTGTGTGTTTATCTATAACATATATGTCTTTAGAAATTTATCAGTAACGTTACGATAATACATACAGCCTAATTTGGGATGAGACTGCCGTGTGTGAGATGTGTGAGGTTATTATTATTTTATTTGGACTTATAGAGCTTTGAAATGCAATTAAGTTATTGTAACGGTAATATTAAATGTTTGTGTGAAGTGAGTCTTCTGCTGTATACATTTTGTCATATATAGTAATAATAATATAATATATTCTACCACATACACACAACGCCATCTAGTCCCAAACTAAGCAGAGCTTGTACTATGGGTACTAGACAACTGATATAAATACATATATACTTTTTTCTGCTTATAAATACATACATATTATACATAGAAACACCCAGACCAAATCAAACATCAAATGTTCATGCACACAAATGTTTGACTTGAGCGGGAATCGAACCCGCGACCTTTGGAATAGCAGTCCGTTACACAAACCACTACGCCATCCAGTCGTCATATATATACATATTATATTCAATTCATTTACAACTAATGGTTATTCAATCTTCATTCATCAGTCAATACCTCATATACTGACCTTGTATGTCCTCCGCCAGTGTGCACGGTTATCATGCAACATCCTCCTCCACAGCATGGACATGACTTCAGGGAAATGTTCATAGGTGAAGGTGGCCAATGCGAGCTCCTGCATCTGCTGGCCGGTGGGTCCCCACGCCTCGTCCGATGTCGCCTCACGGACCTTGCCTTCTACTTCTGTGTAGTTCATTACGACATTTGTTCTGGAAACATATTATTTAGAGGTAGAAAAAAGAACATAATACGATGTACATAAAATAATGTCAACATATATGTCACGCATGTTTTAACACCATTTAAAAACAAATTTCTATGTTTGTAAAGAATCCCATACTGCAGTTTCTAGAGCAGATTCTAAACAGCAGTAAACAAGTTTTAGCGGCGATTGTTTAATGTTGGTTTCTTTTACTTTATTCTCTGAGAAATTAGTGTACAGTTCTACTTTATATCCTTTTCTTTACAAAACAACGTTATACTGTTAAGGAACATAATAAAAAGTCGACTAATTAGCGGTCTACAATTATACGGTATTTTTCGTGACGCTTCGTTCCCAGCCGATTTGTGTCGGAATATGATTTATTTATTCCGCATTGATTTTTACTTTTGACACTGGTTTTTTATACATACAAACTAGGAAATAGCATAACCGGCGCTGAATTCCGTATAAACGAAGATTATTAACCGACTACAAAAGTGGACGGATAGTCGACTTTACCGACTAATCGGAACATCAGCAACATATAAGCCAAAACCAAACGCATTTTTTTTATTTAAATGACATTAATAAACAATACGCGTATCATGTAACAAACCATAAAGTACAATCATATAAAAATATAGGTCAAAGGACCTCATTCAAAAGTAATGAGGAAAGTTCCTCATTTATTTATAAGGTAACAATAATTGGATCAATCGAGTGAAGAATTTAAGTGTACCATTTAGTTGGTCGTGTTTCTGTACAAGTCAAACAAGCGCACATAGCAAGGCCATGACAAGATTCCATTATGGAAAGGAAAGTTCGCAAGTGACTCTTTAAGTCGTTTACGACAAAAAATGATATACCATGTTAGATCGCAAAAAGCAGATATCGCCATGTCCATAACTCAAGGTAGCGTTTTGAGATGCATTTTATATTTAATATACAGGGTGTAAGGGACGTCTTAACGAATACTGAAATAGTGTATTCAGACCATCATTCTGAGTCGAAAATCATTGGAATTTTCTGCGATGTCCCTAACACCTTGTATATAAACGATTTGCCTAAAGAAATAAATGCTCAGACTGTCTTACTTGCGGATGACATTTCAATAAATTTCCCATATACAGATATTGCGAATTTAAATACAATTCTAGACCACAACCTTTCTAAAATAATAATTTGGATGAACGACCATAATTTGCAGATTAAGTTTCATCATGAACAGCTTTTAATAGTCCACTGCTGGACATAGGCCTCTCCTTAGTAAGGAGGTTTATGCCTACTATACCACGCTGGCCAGACGGGTTAGTATAGAGTTTGTGTCAAGTTTTCCTTCTGTTTTGTGTCCCTTAGTCGGCTCTTATGACACCCACGGGATGATCTGACATTAACTGGTATGTAATTGGAAATCAGTAAATTTGTCAGAAAACATCAAACACTCTTTCCATTAGCGAGTGACCAACGCCCTTTTTTTGTCATAAAGTCAATATCAAAATATAAGAAACATGCATTTGTTTTGAACTTTATGTTTCACAAATATTAATTAAAACCATACTTATGAATTACTACGTGAAAACAAGTCTTGGCATATACTGCGAGTGGTCACTGAAGGGTAGGGGATTAAAAACATAGTAAAATATAGGTCACGTAGCATGGGTGTTAACTAAGTTACAAAGTTGACTCAGTAATTATTTAATATTATGCTATCATCAGTAGCAGTACACGATTACAACAGTATTGATCGCATTACCAATAGCAATGATATACCAAGATATTAGCTAGGATTTTGATAAAGAATTCACTTTCTTTATCAAAGACAAATTACAGTATTTACCCGACACCATTCTAAGTCGTAAGTCCATAATCCTGCTTCTGTCTGTAGTGTCTTTAAGAATAATTAATAGAGTTATTAATGGCAATCGATAATGCCGCCAGAAGCTATGGATACGGGCAAGTATCAAGCTTTGTACATCATCACTTACCTGACTTAGTTTTAATTATCTTAAGAATAAAAATAATGTTAATATTATTTACATCTGTATTGTGTTATATGTGTTTAATTATAGAATGAGATAATGGCTTAATTAAATGAATATTTATGTAGCGTTACTATTTTATTCGCTAACCACTTACAATATTTACTTTGAACAAAATCTTCTTTTCTTTGACAAAAGACTTACATTGAACTGCCATTTCTTTTTTCGTTTCTAACTTTGAAATTGATGAACTTCCGGTTGTAACCCCCTGGTAAAGTAAGGTATAAAGGGTATACAACCATAAGTTCCGGTAAGGTAAGGGTACCTTACCCTACCCCTAAAGATAAAATTACCAAGAGAAGAGAATTTATAGGTAAACTCCGACTCTTAACACTTTTTGGGCTTTAAGGACTTATCTAAGCACTCCTGCGCTTAGAATTTTTTTATAATTTGTACTTTTTTATTTTCTTTTGATGTTATTGTTGAGTTTATTTCTAACGGAATTACAACCAAGTGGTCGTGGGTTTGAACCCCGCCTTATAACTACAAACATGACCCCTAAATACAAATATTCAGTCAGTAGTAACAGAAATACGCTGCTAGGTTTTTTTAAAATAAAAACAAGTTTGAAATCGTCGTTAACTTTCAGGGGCACACTAAAACAGCATCACTTGATCTCTAATTAGTAACACATTAATTTTTTTACGTTTCCGTGCATTTTAACCAAGGCCGATGTTTATTTATTATTTATGAATTAAATCCGTTTTCAATCCGAATTCTATCCGTGTGGTGACGGATTAAGAATACGGAGTGTCACCACCCCTATTCATACAATGGGTATCGTAAGAGCTGCAAAGTAAACAAACCCTATACAAACCCGTCTAGCCAGCGTGGTATAGTAGGCCAAAACTTCCTTTCTAAGGAGGCCTATGTCCAGCAGTGGACTACTACTGGCTGTTGATGTGTTGATGTGATGTGAAACGAAAATTAAATCAGTAATCTGCTAGTCTTAGTAATACTTTACTATTTTAAGAAGTAACAGACAGATAGACAGACATACTTTGGAATCTCTACATCCATACAAATAAATAAAATTGAAGTGTCAGTTTGTAATGTCAAAATAATAGGCTTTTTTTTATGCACACACGGCATGAAAAAAAAAACCGATGCGAGAGCGTGTCTGTCTAATAGTTAATACCTCTTCAAGGTTAAACCGCTCAACCGATTTAGATGAAATTTGGTATTGAGATAGTTTGAGTCCCGGGAAAGGACATAGAATAGTTTATATCCCAGAAATCATCCTTTAAGGGAGTGAAACTTTGTATCGGAAATCCATAAACGCTGAGCCGATTTAGATGAATTTGGTATGGAGATAGTTTGATTCTTGATAAAGGACATAGGTTATATATAGACTACTTTTTACCACGGTAACCGACATACACGCAGGCGGAGCCGCGGGCAAAAGCTAGTTCATACAAATAAATAAAATTGAAGTGTCTGTTTGTAATATCAAAATAATAGGTTTCTTATGCTCACACGATTACCGATGCCTAAAAACCAGTTTAAAAATTTGTAACTTTCTGTTTGTTCCAGTTAATCTTCTAAACGGCTGGACCGATTTTAATAATATTTAACTACCAGGTAGCTGTCTATATAAGGAGTAACTTAGACAATTTTCCCTCTCAGAAAAACCCTTTAAAATTTTACCCGGTCCGGGATCGAACTCACTTAGGCAGCGCTTTACAAACTCCACGCGAACGCAGTCGCAGCTACCAGCTAATAAGTATATAAAGTTAAAACAATTAACTTTACACCGTCTCGCTCTGTCTGCTGCAACAGCATTATCACAATTTCTATAATTGTTTATTTGTTACCTCAGCTGGTCCGTAATCAACAAGTAACCGTTACGAGCCAAGTTACGCAACACCTACAACATATAGACAGTGAAAGGTTACATCAAGGTTGTACATTCATGCAATATTTGTGGGCGAATTCATAGTGGACACGATTTATTTAATTCATTTGGTAAAACTATATGGTAAAACGGATAGGATAGGTCCATGACGGGTCTGTTACGTCTGGTGGTAAGTTATTCCGACTGTTAGGACAGAGGTCGTGGGGGGAAGTGTTTTATCGCCTGGGATAGGGCCTGATTAGGCATGGTGTCAATTCGGGGAGGACCTGAAATAACATGGTCCAGGTCTTCCCAGAGTAGGGCACCTGAGGCCGGCCGTCGGGCTGGTTTTTAGTGGAATCACCACATACTCCTGGATCCTGAGTCCCCGAGGAGCAGGAGATCCGAAGGGATTTTCCACCCCGTCAAAAAAAAAGGACAGAGGTCGTGAGTTTCATGCCTACCCGGGACATACTGTGATGAGGACGATAATTTTTGTGTCTGCGTTTAATTTATCTATATTATGTATGTATTTAGAAATATATAAGTACGTTTATCAGTAGTTTAATAACCGTAGTACAGTTTTTCTACATAAGTATGTTATTAAATATGTGCCATGTTTTACTGGAACTGGAATTATAGACGACAAAATGTGGGTGTTTAATGGTGAAGGATTAATTTACTTTTAAAGCTTTGAAGGACTATTAACCCGGATGGTTAAACCAGACCTAACAGTCTGTAATGGAAGAATGCAGTTTCGATTCTCGCACCCCCGGCAATTGGCAAGAAACACGGGGTTGTTTTTAGTCGATAAGAGTCCGACACACCCCTCCCACCTTCTCCAGTAAGGAACTTCCATCAAGTTAACAAAAAAAAAATCGACCAAGTGCGAGGCGGACGCGCACGAAGGGTTCCCTACCATAATCTAGAAAAACGGTTCATGAGATACAGCCTGGTGACAGACGGACACCGGAGTCTTAGTAATAGCACCTACCTCACCAGATTTCTACACCCCCCAAAGGTTGGCTGGTAGAGAATGCCTTGGGCATTAAGCCCTACAACATAAGTGCATAAAGTTGTAAATAAATAAATAAATAATAGGGTCCCGTTTTACCCTTTGGGTACCCAAAAGGT